CAAATGTTCCCTCGGTTTCCCTTGACTTCATTATGCAAAAATATTAATTGTTACAGTTCTCTAGCACTGTTCCTGGTGCCAGGATTACAGCTGCTAACAAAATGGCCATGGCCCTTCTCTCATGAAGTTTACTGTCTAGGTAACTTATAAATAGGTAAACAAACCAGGGATTATAGGTTAGGAGAAGTGCTATGAAGGAAATAGAAAATTTGCCGTGAAAAAGAATAATTGGAACACGAGTAATTGAGGTTATAGTAGAGGAGTGTTAGGACTTTTCTGAGGTCAGATTTGAGAGAGCTCTAAAGTGATGAAATTGTCAGGCACCCTAAAAGTCATAGAAAAAGCATACCAGATAGAGTGCAAAAACTCTGAGACAGGACAGAAGTTGGCCATAGTCAAGGAACAGAAAAATCCATGTGCTAAAACATGGCGGTATGCCAGAAGAATTGTGAACTGAAGAGTTGTGCTCATCTCTTTTAACCCCTCCCTTCATTCACGTCATATACAAAAATGAGTCTAATTACAAATGTGTCTCCCTAATCTCTCTGCAGCTAAAAAGGCTCTGTGATGCCTCCTGATCAAAGAGACATAACTGGAAGCCTATAGTGTGTTTCTTCTGGAAATGCTACTTTTTTTTGTTTTGTTTGTGATGAAAAGGGAACTGGCTCATTTAACAGAACTGTTAGTACCGCTTCCTCCTTTATTCCAGCTTGAAAAGAGGACATAAATAAGGAACTGTTATCTGGAGACCACCATAAGAAAAGCTACAGCTTATAGCTGACAGAATGGGGTACAAGAAGGAATCTTGGTTGTGTACGACTTCTCCCAGAAACTACCTCAGTCCTGGAGAGGCTGCTCTTATCCTGTTCCTATTTGGCTAAGTTACAACGGTTAGGTTTATTTTATGTAAAAATCTTGACCAAAGAGCTAAAACTCACAAGGTTCCATAGGCTACCCTGAAGAATTACATTATCCCAAATGCTGCTGAAAATCATTATCACTCCACCAAATTTTATAACTCACTACGTAGAAAAATGGGCATTTCTTTAATGCCCTTCTTTAGGTGAAACTGAGCACACGGATGACTCGGTGATGGGAAACCCATGAGGATTACAATTGAGATGAAAAAAAAAATGTACAAAATGATGTAAAAATAAACTATTATATAATAAGAAAATTTCAACCAATCATAAAAAAAAAGGTGAAACTGAGTAAATAGCAATATTTGGGTGGGGTGGAATGCGTCATCTGATTACTAGACGCATAATAC